GCGGAGAAGAAGGCTGGCTTCATTAACATCAACGCTCTGAAGGACGAGCTCAGCCGTGAGCAGGCGGAGAAGAAGGCTGGCTCCAATAAAATCAAGGAGCTGGAGAGAATGCTCAAGGTCACAGAAGAGACGTGGGTGACCAAGCATGAGGCTAAAATTCTCCATATGGATCAGATGATCGCCAGTCTCACCAGTCAGAATATAGCACTGGAAGCCAGAAACCAGAAACTAATCWCCATGCAGCAAGCCACCGAGATAAGGATCCTCCAGAACAAGAATGAGTGGGAGACAAAAGTTCACGCTCTGGAGGACCATCTCAGTTGTGAGCAGGTGGAGAAGGAGGCTGGCTTAGTAAAAATCAAGGAGCTGGAGAGACTGGTCAGCGACACTGAGCAGATGTGGGCGGCCAAGTACGAGGCCGACATAAAGATGCTCATCCTGAAACAGATCAAGCTTCAGGTAAGTCACATCAGCTCCGTTTGATTTGAATAAGAACTTGTTGCACTTTAAGTTTGTTTTTTATTCAGACTTTTGAAAGAGAAAACATCTAAACACACTCGTCTCTGTCTTTTCAGGAACTGGCCTTGATGAGCGACAAGGACAAGGCAACGAAAGTAAAGGAGCAAAAGAAAGCAAAAAAAGAGGCAGAGAAGAGGCGAAAGAAGGAGCTGAAAGAGAAGAAGAAGCAAGAGAAGAGATAAACACTAGACAGAGAGAAGGAGGAGAAGAGGCAAGGGAAATTAAAAAGAAAATATGTACCTCTCTTAAAAAAAAAATAAAGTTGAAATTTAATCAACATCTCTTGTTTCTTCCTCAATACACCCTGGTATTCATTTTGTAAGTCATGGTTCTATATAGAGTCAAATATATGACGTGTATATGATATATACTGTATATATAATGTGATTGACAGCTAGTAATGTCCAATGGGTGCAGGTTGCAGGGGGAGGAGGGCGTGTGAGGATTTCTATAAGTTTTGGTTCGTTTCAGGAGAATAAAACTAGGACGCTGCGTCGCTTTTCAAAGAATTATGGGGCCGCATTTTCTCCTCTCCTTTTGTATAAGATGGTCCAGTGTTTCCTCTGTTTCCGCTTCAAGTCTGTAAATATGTACCTCTCTTAAAAAAACGTGACGTGGGAAAATCTGAGTGGCAGAGGTTATTCCGGAGTGATAGATAAAAGCACATACATACATGAAAACACACATATTTATCCCCCACACACACACAGACTCTCCTTGTCTGTGAAACATGTAATTGCCATGTGAAACTCCCACCCAGCTGCACACACACATTAAAACATACACACCGACACTGATCTCTGACAGCCCCCCCTTCACACTGCTATGCACACCATGTCTAATGTTTCCATTCATGTTACTGTACAATACCCTGAGAGAGCTCAACGAAAGACCAGAGCCCACTTCCCATTCATCTTTGCGGGACCATACATTCACGACACAATGATGTTCACTCAGAGACGGGCCGAGGGGACGGATCCTCACCGATACACATGTTCCAGCGGGATGTCGGTGTGAGAAACATACCCCTGATGGAGCGAGAGGACCTCATGCTAACCGCAGCAGTGATCCTGAGGCCCCATGATCGCAGACAGCTATATCTAATTGGCTAAATCGCCTGGGTTTGTTTGTGGGGCTCTGAAGGGTCTCGGTGCTGAACAAAGGAGAGATTGAGATGCCTGCGCTGATAGGGCTCCCTCCAAAACCACAACCCCTGCTCCCCCTGCTCCTTTACATCAGAGGAGAGAGGAGCGAGGGAGGGCGTGAAGGAAGGAGAGAGCGATTTGCCCTACTTTATTTAGCTGGGGTCTGTTTCAATGCGGGGCCATACACCAAAACAGTATTGGGCTCATTGGGGGGGTGACTCACTTCCACCTTCTCTCTACTTTATCACTGGCTCCATAATGGGAGCAAAGGAGGGGGGTGACAGCAGGCTTGTTTTCTCCACCTTTCAGCCAACTGGAGGGGAGAGCGGCTCTATAGCCGTGCTAAGTGGCCTGCAATGATTCAAAGGGGCCTGGCTGCAATCTCCTGGGAGCAGACCTGGAAGACTGATGCTCCTGTCGGGAGAATCGAGAGCGAGTCTCACGAAAAGACCAAACCCTCCGTCCTGGGAATATTCAAGATTTGGCAAATAGTGAAGAGGCAAAGGAGAGAAGCAGAGAAACAGGTTTCTCACCTCTCCATAATTGTTGAACATGCGAATCATCTGGTCAGTGATGTTAAAAATGTTCCTCCAGTCAAAGTTTGGCATGCTCGCCTCCCGCTGCTCCTCAGGACCACTGTGCAGGAAGTTCAGAATGTCTTTGGTGGTAAAGTCAGTGTCCTCCAGGCTGGTGTCCACAAAGTGCATCACTGTGGGGTTTCTCAGGGTGTCCTGCAGTGATGGAGACAGACGTTTCTCTATTATTATTGCTGATTTGGTAACTTTTTTTTGTATATAAAGTGTTTTTTCTTTGCACACTGAATAATGGGAATAACTGTGAATCAGCTCATGTGAACAGTGTTTGTGTTTGCATTTCTGTAGAGCCTATGTTTCATACCCTGATCATGTTCATCTGGACGCTGCTGTGGAAAAAAGCCCAGAGCTGAGGTCCCAGCTCCTCCCAGGACTTGGCCATGTTCTGGAGCCTCTCTAGCTCCTCGAAGGTCGTGTTGGCCTGGACACACAAGCAAAAACACACACCGATAAAAAAGGACCGATAGATCTGTTGATCTATGCTGACAGCATTAAAACCAATATGGAGCTCTGTGTTGTAAGGAATTTTGTCACACATAAAAAACATATGAGATCTGTTTTGTGTGGTGTAAAATATTCAGTGTTCCTTTCATTGCTGTCATCTCCTTTTGTAATTTATTTTTTAATTCCCCCCTCCTCTTCTCTTCCCTCTCTCCCCCAATCCCTCCGCCCTCCTTTGCTGTGGTAGTCAGCTCATTCCTAAGAAGGGTGGGGGTTCGAATGCACATAAACAGATTGTGAGGGTGTAGAGAGGGAGCAGAGGGACAGGGAGGTGAAGGGTCAGGCTGGAGGTGGGTTTCTCTTACACTCTTTAATATCTTGCGGACGGCAGGGGAGTCTGGGGTGTACAGGATCTTTCCCATCAGCAGGGGCTTGACTGAATTCCACACAATTTTTGTGACAGGGTTGGACTCCAGGCTCTCCATGAGGGCGTTGCAGAACGGAGCTGTGGGTGGAAGAATATCAATAACGGTCCATAACGAAGAGGAGTGAAGAGACAAAGACAAACAAAAGAGCATCATGCAGAAGAGAACACAGATATTGTCTCACATCCGCCACAATTTACATTCAGATAATAGCTTAATAACTTCATCAATAATATTTTAATATATAAAAATAAGTTCTGTAGTTTGCCTCCCTGACACATGCACAATGAGATTGAGTGATAAGATTTATGGCCCCAGAAGGTTTCATAAATCCATCTTTAGATTGTTTGATTTCCTCACAGTGCCCGTTTAAATAAATACATTCATTTCTACTATAATTGCAAAAGTCAGTTAATGTGTATGATTTACTGTAATTATTCTTTATTTTACCCAGTTTCAGGAACATGTGAGTCTCTGCACTTACTGGCAGACGTATCGTAGACATAGTTCTTGTTCTTGGTGCCGTTGACCCCCAGGAACACCTTGTAGTTGTTGTCTTCGTACCAGTTGAAGGACAGGACCCTGGAGCCGCCTCCCTCCAGGTAACCACAGAAGAGGCCTGACACGCTGGACATGAGCTGGGTGAAGGAGGGAGGACCCCCGGATCTGAACAGAGAGGAGACGGCCTTCAGCAGCTCCTGAGAACTCGCCCGCTCCGTCAGCTGCGGGAGAGACGCAGAGGGTCAGTTCTTCAGCAGTCAACTTCAGAATCAGCTTTATTCTCCGTGTTTAAGTACACATACTGGGAATTTGCAGTTGTCCTCAGTGTACTTACACAAAAAGACATATTATTAACAAAAGACTTCCAGAAACTAGCAGAATAAGCTATGACCACTATGTGCAATAGAGATAAACTGTACAAGACAGTAGAAAACATAATGTGCAAGAGTGGACTAGAAACATTTAACTACTAATTATGACCAGAGGAAAATTAGTGCAGTGATGCACAACGAGGCTCAAACAAATATGGATAGAAAACTGATTTGTGTGAGTTTAAGCAAAGTCATATTTCACGAAGCCTCTGACAGGATGATTAAATGCTGAACTATTTCTAGACAGTGTAAATAATTAGCTCTGAATAATTATAAACAAGGGCTATTTATATTCTTCACATTCATTTATTTCCGAGCATAAACCGTTGCAGCTAAACAATAGTTGGAAAGATAAGCAAACATGTCGGACGGGCGCCTCTCACATGATGAGGACGGAGGGGTGGACTAAATATCCTCCAATTGATGGAACTAAAATAGCGGGTGCATTTCTCAGCATCATTTCCTCCCTGAAGAAACACAGAGGAGGCTGCCAATCATTTGAGTTGAGACGTTAACAAAGTGATTCCAAACACGCGATCAGCCAAAGTAATCTGTTTTCAGTAAAGTGATGGAGTCAGAGATGTTTTAAAGGTTTCAACACCACCCGGCTCCAGATGAGTGAGGTGCAGTTCAGTTTCTGCATCGATGACAATCAACCTGGTTTCAAAGGTCAGTGATGAAAGTGACTCATATCTATTCTTTGCCCCCCCACTCACAGCTCACTATTACGTGTGGGCTGTGAGTCCCCCCCCCCCCCCCGGCTTTTCTCTCACTCTCACTCCCTTTTCCTCCCTTTTTTTTAAATGTATTATCACACACTCGCTCGGTTGAAAGGAAGTAGATGTGGATGACGGCAGCTTTTGGCTCGCCTCTCTGTCACCACGGTGATATGAAGGTCCCACCTACAGGATGTGTCACCTCACTGGAATGTCTCTCTCCCCCTATACCTCACCCCCTCCCCCTACTCACTCACACACACAGCTAAGGTGACGATGGGATACGATGGGATACCCCCCCCCCCAGACATGGAGTGAACGTGCTGAGACACACAGCCCCAGACCCTTTATCTGCTTTTGTGTGTGTTTGTGCATGTGTGCATACGTGCACCTTATATCATTTATTTTTTTATTCTATTATTTTCTGCGTTCTCTATATTTTGATACAGTTCATCTAGACCTTTTCTTATTTGGCTCTTTACTTGTTTTTGTCTTCTGATTTTTATCCTCTGGTCTATTTTCTATTTCTTCTCAAGACTATTTTGTATTTGTTCAACATGTGAAATCACTGAAATCTCAGCTTCTATTTGATTCAATTCTATTGTGCTCTGTTTTGCTCTGCAGGATCTATTCTTCTGTATTCTATTCTATTCGGTTCTATTGTGAAAGACAAGCTGTGTACACACGTGTTCACATACACATAGCTTGTTTCATAGCAAATACACCATTGGGAGAAACACATGAACACACATATCGTTTCTGGCCCAGTGCACATGTTAACATACATGTACATGTGCACATGTATGCCACAGTCCATCACTTAGCCTCCTCTGGGAGTGAGTATAAAACAGGGAGCAGCGGAAGAGGTGAGGTTCCTGCAGGGCTAAAAATACCAGAGCCACCGATCCTGCAGGACTGAGAAGAGAGGAGGAGGAGGAGGAGGAGGAGGAGGAGGAGACGGTGGAGTAGTAGGGTTAAGGAGAAGAGAGAAGAGAGAGAGCATGCAGGAAGAGAAGGAGAAGGTTGTGGAGTTCCGGGAGAGAAGAAAGAGAGGGAGCAGGAGAAGGTGAAGACGAAGGTGAAGGAGAAAAAGAAGCAGAAGAGAATGAGGAGAATTAGAAGGAGCAGGGTTTAGGACCAGGAGGAGGAGCCGAGACAGGAGCAGAGACAGGGGTGTTGGGTTATGAAGGACTTTTGGACACTTACAAGTTGGACGTTCTCTGACAACGCCTTGAGGGCCCGACCCCAAAAGTGCAGGTCGACCCCCTGGGAGCTGCTGTCCAGAACCTGAGGCATCTGTGGAGACACAGTCACAAGATGTCAAGTGACCGACATTCATTCTGTTCTTTATAAAAATCAGGATAAAACATGAAACACTAGAAACAATTCATTCTTTGTTCTTTGATCTCAAAACCACGGCTGCCTTTGTCCCGTGATGAAGAAACAACAAACCAAAATAACTGGAAACTTCCAAGAAACTTTTATTAAGAGGAAACCATCACATTTTCTCCACACACACACACACACACACACATCATCCATTTTACTTTTATTTGCCGCACAATCTGCTCATGAAATTATGAAGGAACCAAATAGTTTTTAGTGAACTTGCATCAAAATTGAATTTTCCTTCAGACCTTCAGTGACTGTATCGGGAAAGCATTAGCAGCAGCAGCAGGTATTAGAAAACGTTGGGTCAGAGGGCTGTGGGCTACGGAAACCCTGAATGCCAAGACAAACACGCACATGAGATATCCTTCCTCTCGCATTCCTTGTGCCTGCATTTCAATGAAAGGAGGAAGGAGGGAGGCAGCACGGTGCTCGGGGGGGAAAGAGAGAAAGCGAGGGAATAGGAGGGGGTGGCGGTGAGAGGTTGACGGGACACAGGAGCGTAACCAGGGGAGGAGAGTTTGTGCAAGGCAAGAGGTCAGTGTGGTAATGGGCTTTAACTTACTGGAGCTAATTGAAGCAATCGCCACCAAGATACTACTGAACTCCTGAGAGGAACTGAGGATCCAGTTTGTGTGTTTGGTTTAAGAGACGTGGAAATGTCTCGTGTTCACTGAAAATATAACCAACATGGACAATCGCTCAAGAATGGATGGCTGGATGAATAGATGGATGGATTAATAATTGATTAATCATTTAATTAAGGTTGTCACATCTAATATTCACAATTTGAACCTATACAATTAAAGAAAAATGAAGTTCAACTATCTGTCTCGGTTTCAGATGTTTCCTGTTTTCCAGCAGGTAACCAGGCGTTCTGGAAGCTTCACACTGGCACATGTTGCTTTAGTGTTTATCGGAGACGCAGCCTCACGTCACTCACAGTGGCTCGCAGGCTGTGGGAGGGGCCTCGCTAAGCCCATTAGGGAACCAGGCCAAGACGGATAACTCCCTGAGCCTATCACCTGACTCCCTCAGGTGGAAACTGAACACATATGTACAGTGAGGAAATGGAGGCCGAGGAAAAAGTTTGAATAGAAACATCGATATTGATCCATCTGTTTTCTTTTAGTAACATTTTCTTTATGCTTCTGTAAATATCGCTCAGATTCATCTTCCTCTCACAGACCGTATAATTAATAATTACATTAAAATACATATAAAATTAAAAGTATTTTTCTTTCATTAAAATGTCGTCATTGTGCCATTCAAAGAAAATCTGTCTCGAGCTGCAGGCCTCCATGTTTGTGTCAAACAGCCTGAGCTTTATTCCGTGCTCCAGATAAAGCCAATGACTGAGTAAACAGGTTTGGCAGAGTCACCTCCGAGCTTCAATCTGCGACTCGGCCTCACATGCTCTTCTGGCACGACTACAGGCTCTGCAACAACATCCCATAGAAATCCAAGATGTCAGCTAGACCTGCACAAGCAATACCAGTAAAACAACTTGTCTTCACTTCATCAGCGACGTGTAATTATGAAATGATTTAAATGCGCAGCTGCTCAGGTTTCAGTGCCAGCAGTACTAACACAGTGTTTGCACTGTGTAAATAAACAGGTTTAAGTATTTAAAAAGAAACATCTGGTGATATCTTATATTGTCTTTTCTAATAACAATGAATTTATCATAATAACAAGTTCAGCCTTTGGATTAAAAATCACATCTGTGGTATTTTCTTGTGCGATTGTTGAGGAATATAGAACAAATCGCCTTCCAGAGGATTTCACAGAGGAAACTACGACCAGGACGTCAATGAAAAACAGCCATTTGCTTAGTTTCTTATTTGCAGTGTCGATAACAAAGCAAGAAATCTTCTCCGAACATGTTGATGATGATCAGGACTCGGAGGAACAGATGAAAGCAACGACAGGAATCAGCGAGGATCACTGGATATGATGAATACAACAGTGTGTTTACCCGTTTGAAGATCTTGAAGAAGTCCAGGTTGGAGTAGAGGATGTCCTCGATCTTCTGCAGCCTTTGCTGGCTGAGGGCACACATGGCGTTGCGGACCACGTGGAGTCCCATGCGACTGGGGAAGATGATGAAGTGCTCCAGCAACGCCTGACTGCACGCAATGTCCTTCAGCTGCAGGTCCGGGACGCCATAGGCAAACTAAACGGTAGGAGAAGGTATGACTGCGTTGACCTAAGAAAACTTGTAATAGTGTCTCCCAGCATGTAGATGGAACACAAACACAGCTAAGGTGATTTAATATCACTTTATTCTGCAGATGCACCTGTTCCAGTCGCAGCTGTGCATTGACCAGCTGGTGGATGACGGAGTTCGAGAGGCCGGCGTCTCGCAGCAGGAAGGCTGTGAGAACCTCGTCGTCCTTCAGAATGTCTTCTATCTTGAGCCCACGGCCTGGATGGAAAATCCGACACAGAGACAGTGAGAGAGACACCGAACCGCTAAAGACAATATTGACCTGAGCAGCGCTGGACCACTCAAAGGAAATGATTCAGAGCCAGACAGACAAGGCAGGGATTTGACTTTTCGGGGAAAGACCAGTGAGCGAGTGGAAGAGCGGCTTCATACACCGTGTCCCCGCCAATGGTATGAAGTTCATTTAACTGAGTTATATAAAAAAAATACATCTTTAAGTGTGCCTTCAGGCCTGGTCATGGACAATAACTAAAAATATATATTAATGAGAAGAGAAGAAAGTGGAATAAGACAAATAGACAATCTGCAACAATAACTCTGAAGGAGAGATTTTAAGAAACGAAAGAGAAAGTGAGGAAACGCTTTGGTGGCACAGAAAGAGGATATAAAGACAACAGGATGAAGACAAACAGTTTTACTTTGTGTAACGTCCTGTTTCTACTATTTTCCTTTACCTGACACCACTGATGGGTTTTTCCGTAACGTGTCCATGAAGTTTGAGAAAGACGTCATTTCTCCCCAAAGTCGTCCGAGCTGCTGGACCTCGGCCTCATTGAGCAGAAGCTCCTGGACGTCGACATAGAACCGAGCCAGTCTGGAAAAAAGACTCTGCGTTAATGTCTAATGTATAAATTAATCTAGATTAGGTGGAATGAGGTTTTTATTTTATTTAACTTTATGTATTAGGGGATCGGTGACACTTATCTTATCTCATTTATATTCTTAGGATTTTGGGGTCTATATTCACCTTTTTATTTATTCACTTTCAATCAATCTTATAGAATATTTTTGTGATTCTATAATTTTTACTCTTAACATTTGTTATTATTGTAATTGTGCTCTAATGTTGTTACACTGCTTTTCATTGTTTTCTATTCTTTGGCTTCAAGTTTTTATTTTGTAAAGCACTTTGTAATTGTGTGATGTATGAATAAAGTTTATCACTATCATAGTTAAACAAATTATAACTTTCCAAGCTATTCCAGTTTTTTATTATTTCCTCTACAACGTCTGAGGCTGTGATTCTTCTTACACTGAGTTGTTGTAGTTGGAGACGACTCCTGGAGACTCTCCCCTGGTTGGGTATCTGAAGCAGGGGTTGTTGGCGTTGCAGAAGATGCCCTGCATCCAGGGCAGGATGCCTGCGGAGGGCATGGCCTTGTTGGGGAAGTGACCTGAAAAAGCAGAGAACATGTCACAGGGCACGTGAGGGCTTGTGATTTTAGACTTGTGTTTCCACAGAGTCAACATGTGCTGCTGGTTCAATAAAAAGATACTGGCGTCCTCGGGTCCGTCTCATTCTTACATTCATGTTGCTGGTACAGTGGATTTGCTTTCCTCAGCCACACCAGACCAATGAATAACAACACCGGCCAGCAGATCTCCACAAGGAAGCGGATCTGGACAGAAACAGGTACAAGTCAAACTGAAAGTACCAAAATACAAATACCTACTACTACTTCCTATACTGACACTTCATACATAACTCTGAGACTTTATCCAAGACCGAGAGAAAGTTTTGGGGCTGATGCTTATATCGATATTAGGGAAAAACTCTGATACCAAAGAGGAAGATATTCCTAAGATGTCATCAAATGTAATTGAGGCTTGATATTTTACAGTTTAACCATGGACTTAATTATAAATAACAAAAAAGAAAACACAAATAGAACCTGAATTAAGAAAATATTTAATATAAATGCATATCTTTTATCTGTATTGTTTATATGAAATAAAAGTTTTTGTACTGGTGAATATCTGCAAATACAAACACTGACAGCGGGAAAGTCTGTGAAATTGTTCAGGCTGTTGTAGGAAGCTGTGGTTTGTGTTGTGCATGATGCTGAACAGTTGTATGAACGTTGTCTGTCCAGCTCACATTAAGGTCCGTACCTTCTGTCTCTTGCGGAGAGTCCAGTTTTTCCACAACAACAGGCGGATCTGAGAGCCTGTCTTCATCGCTCCGCAGCTCAGCCCCTGGAAGGGGTCATCAGCCTGTGACAAACCTACAAACACACACGAGTCATCACATACAGGCTGCATACAGACACTGTGAAAATCAGATGTTACTGAGCCTGGTCGTCAGAGAGCAGGAGTCTTGTGCTGAAGCAAACATGACGGTGCTCAAACATCTACATCGCTCTGCAAAAGTGGGATAGTTAAGATTTTTCTAATCATGTTTTAAAACTCATTAAAAACAAACAGACTTTTATTGCTGACTCGAACTGGACTGGGCCTCATGCAGAATATCTTCATTAGGTGGTTTTGTCCATAATCATGGAGCCTCTGCTTTAGTGCCCCTGAGCAAAACACTGCCAGTTTAAAGGTTTTGTATTCATGTTGGCAGGAAGACGACAACAAAATACAAGTTAGTAAAATGAAATGTTTAGTTTAATGTGAGTTTTAAGTACAAACATGACTCTGGAAATGTGATTGGTAAAAAAGCAATTTGTTTGTTCTCATGCCGACTTGTTCCACAATCATTTTGTTGTTACTGGAAAAAAAAAAAAAACTCAAATGCCAATCACGTCCACAGGTTGTGTGCAGATGGCCTCGGAAAATGTCCGACACGAGGAGTAATTTGTTCAGAGTGACGTGTCCAATAGATCTGTATTGACCGTCAGAGCGAGGGACAAGTTAATACTCGTCAGGAAAATAACGAGAGACTACAGCAGGAGAGCAGAGGCGATTATTATGTGTCCGACTTCTCTGAATTCATCCCATTACTCAAACTGTAACGAGGTAATTACACATGACAGGAAATCTTTGAGCAAGATTGATAGAAACAGAAATTTAGGAATTAAGTAAATGGGATTAAGAGATAAATTTAAAAAATAAATAAAGGAGGATCGGATGCAGGTATTTTAAAAGCTAAATTAGCATCTGTCAGCTCTAACAGCACAATCACAACAACAATCACAAGAGTAAATCCTGATTCCTACCTTTTACAGAGCGATATTAAAGTTGCACGACATCGAGGCAAAGAGGTTCACAAACAAGATGAAGTGATAGAAAACAATAAGCGAGGACGAAGAGCTGCGTACGTCTCCTGTAGCTGCTCTCTCTGCCTCTCCCTCTCTCTCTCTCTCCTCCAGGTCAGCAGCACTCCTAATCTGATTGCTCTAATCTCCCAGCTCAACATGGGCAGGCAGAAAAAAGACAACAGTCATCCATTTGGAGGTAAACGTAGAGGAGATGTGCAGTGGAGAGGATGTGATGAAAAGGGAGGGGAGGTGGGGATGGGGTTTCACAGGTTTGATCCGCCTCCACAGTGTTTGTCCACAGGGCCAAGATTCACCTGCAAGAGTCATTGGAAGCCCCCGGCCAAACACTGACACTGAGCGAATCAGAGTTTGAAAGAGACGGAGGAGGGCGAGGAAGGGGGTGGTGGGGTCACAGGAGTCTGAAGCGAGTCGTCGCTCCGAGCAGCTCGACAAGGCGGAGCAAGTGACACGGGTCGTTAGGTCGAGAGAATGTGGAGCCCCGACGGAGGCAGAGTGAGAGCACTTGAAAACAGTTCACAGCTTAACTCTCAACACAGAGTCCTGGTGGCTCAAGTGGCTGCTTCACTCCCTGAACCGACAAATACAGTAAAACACTGAAGTAACTCACTGAAAGTAAACAAGGTCACAGGAGAGTCGGTCAATAATGTTTCATATAAAACCTTGGCTCTCTGAGACAGAAACACTGGAGCTGAAAACATTAGTTGATAAGTTAATGGACAAAAATCTCCTGTCAAATACTCAGACGATCAATTCATCGTGTGAGTCGTTTTTTTAAGCAGTTTCCTGAATCTCATTATTTTGCTTTTTTAGTTTCCTTATAATTCCCAAAAATATTCCTGGAAAGAGACATGCACATTGCAGAGAAGAGCAACATGAACAAATTCCATTAATAGGTGAATTATTTTGTATTTTCAATTAACCCTAACCATATTATTTGCCCAAAATTCCACTAAACAGGAAACTTCCTCAGAAATCACAGGAAGTACTGGAAAGATGTAACCATTCGTTTACATCATTTCAAATTAAAAGTATTTGAGTTTTGGGCTTTTGGTCGGACAATACTTTAAAGAGATTTAATTTTTAATTTTGTTCGAGAAATAATTTGCAGATCAATCTGAACTGAAAATCATAACTTATAGCAGAGGATCTAAATCCACATGCATTTCACTGCAATTTGTCCACTACAGCAAAATAAAGCCGATAATCTGGATACATGAAGAGAACAGAGGAAACAGGGAATAGTTAAGAACTACAAATAAAACTGTTTATGCACGTCCACCAACCATAAAATAACAAAAACTCTTGTACTGAACTAAAAGAACACTCCCCTGAAGCAGAAATAACAGTATAAAGTACATTTTTAATTTGCAGCAAGAATTGTTGCATGTCATTTCTTTCTTTTGTATAGTCACAAAATTGTAATGAGACAAAATGACTGTGACAAACATGCAGTATGTATGAATATAAAAAACGTAAACAGATACATAGGGCTTACATACTGAGAAAACAAATGTACCAATCACAGGCTACGATGGAAAATTCTTTCAAATTAAGAACCTCATGTTAAAAAGAATTACCGTCATCTATTCCTCGTGGAATAAAATGCAACATTTAGCACATTTTAACAATGAAGGCATCATTAGAATTACAACCTGTATTAAGTGCATTGTGTGATTAAAATAAAATATAATTATGGGACAAATAAAACAGGACAAGACTTAAAATGTTTTTTCAAAACAAAAAAAATTGTGTTTGGCAAATTTCCTTTGTCATAAAAATAAACAATGTACATATTTGATATTTAAGAACGTGACACTGAACATTCAACGTTGGTGCCACTTTTTTTTGTTTCGCTTGTTTTGAACTCTTCGACCAAGCAATGTTGACGCAGGACTTCAAAGTGTAAAATAGAATATATTAGTACTTATAACACTTTCATGGTTTATTTCACAGGCCTATTATTTTCCCCCCACCCTCAGCTTGTTGATAAAACCTCCCCAGTTATACACTCTGGCACAGATACATTCATATTTACAGATAAAATGTTTTTTATTTGGCATCAGACAAAATGAGCCTCTCTGTGTTCTAGCTCCTGCAGCCGCCGAGGTCGCAGTCTTTGGTAGACGGGTTTAGTCTCACCGGGGCTGAGGTCGTCGGGGCTACTCGGGGGTGGGGACTGCGGCGGTGAAAGGGAAGCGGAGGTCAGGACCCCGGGGTCGATGGCACTGTCGGTGGAGTCTTGGGTCTGGAGCCGTGTCTGCGGGGGGCTTGTAAGGGCAGGGGACGGGGTGACTACCTGACAGGGGGTGACGGGAGCGAGTGTGGAGGTGGTGGTTGTGGTGGTGGTAACAGTTGTAGTCCAGTTTGGAAGCGTCCGAGCTCTGTTGTTAATGGAAACCGGGGGCTTGTAGAAAGTTCCGGGAGGAGGCTGCAGAGTTCTCGGGGCCCTGAGCGTAAGTGGAAGGTTTGGTGAGCTACTAGATCCACTGACTGAATTGCCTGTGTCGTTTTCCCTTTTAGACGTCCAGCCAGGCATGACCATGTAGGGGGTGGTGGAGAAGATGCTGGTCAGACTGGCCGTGGTGGAGACCACAGAGGTGGTGGTCACAGTCGGGTTAAGTGTGACGGGCACCGTCGCCTTTACAGGTTGCACTCCAGCACTGGAAGGCGGCAGGTTGGCCACAATCATAGCAGTCCTGGGTGTGACATCATAGTGCTTATACTTCCTGTCCCAGGTTCTCCTCTGCATTGTCTGCGTGTCAATGAAAGGTGTGATGTAGTACGTGCTCACTCTGGATGAGCCACTTGGCCGTGACTTTTCCAGCTCTGGTATTTCCCGTATGGTTTCAGAAACGCTCTCCCGCTCAGAAGAGGTGGCGTCAACATTAGCAGCAGCGTTTCGATTATTCCTCTCGCTCATCTGAACAGGGGCGGGCAGACGTTCCAGCGGCATGCTGATTGGTCGGGACACTTGTCTGGCGCGCTGGGTGCGTAACTGGACTTTTGGTGCCGCGTTGGTAGAAGAGGGGTTGGTGATGCTGGGGCGGCCAAACACCAAAGTTGACCTCTGGACTTCTCCCCCGCTCGTTGTCTGGACCCCGTTGAGTTGGGCTGAGTCATCTGTTCGGTCCGTTCCTGGCTGGACCTCCTGCACCTCATCCAGGATGTGTGAGGATGGGATCACCGACGAGTATCTTTTGTACACTTTGGCGCCCTGTAGGAACAAAACCGACGATTCAGGATTAAATAGTCACTAAAAAAAACAAGATCTGTTTGTGTGTTTTATATGAATCCCTCCTCACCTCTTTGATGTCCATCAGGGAGGTGGAGTGTCTGCTGAGCCTCTGCAGCTTCTCCTGAGGGGTGAGCCTGGGCGACCCCTGGCCAGTGGTGGAGAGGTCGGAACCGGACAGAGGCGACACTTCAAAGACCGTTTGGAAGTGTCGAACCAGCAGCTCCACCATCAGAGCCTGGTAGGGGTAATCCACCAGGGAGGACAGGGACACCTCCGCATCGGTCTGCCGTGGCTTCACCAGCGTTGGGCCGAAGATAATACCCAGGTTACTCGCAGTCATCTTGTTCTCTTCCGCCTGCTCGTTCACTCTGAGGTAAAAGGAGTCATTGTCAGTTTTATTTATAACAATAAAGAAAAGCAGTCATTTCTAGATTATATTTCTAGAAAATCATAAAATTTAAATAATAGGGAAATGGAGATTGATCATTTAAATAAAAAAATGATCCGTGCTTAAACCATAAATAGAGCACGGGATGTTCTTTGTAACACTTCCTTTGTGCTTTAGGGAAGTTTCGATTTACCTTTGTGTCGTTTGAGGAAGTTTGCTTTAGTGTGTTTGAGCAGAATGGCCCAAATATTTACTGTTTCCAGCTCTTACCTGCTCAGGTGAGCGATAAGGAAGCGCAGGGTCCTGTAGTTAGCAGTGGGCAGCTGGCGGAGCAGATCTCGGATCTTGAAGATGACTCGGTTGAGCTGTATGCTCGGGCCGCCTTTCTCTCCGGTCTGGGTGTTTGGAGGTTTGTCTGCCTCCTCCACTATCACCCTCTGACACTCTTTGGATAAGCCGATGAAGTCGTTGTAGTATCGATACAGGATCAGTGGCTCTGGTAACTGTAGGAAACAGGATACACTGTGAGGTGTGACAGGGAATTGTGTGGTGGAAAATCAACCTACCCGAGCATGAACTCTATATATTTTATTTTATTTCAAGAAGTATAAACAGAAAAATAGTAATAGACATAAATTGCAAACTAAGAACCAAATTTAAGATTAAATTCTGGGATAAAAATCATCTTTGACTGTCTTTTATAATGATAATTTTAACTTCTTAAACAACTGCAAGAAGCATTTGAGACGTACCTGTCTAAGGTAGAGTTTGAGGACATTGCTGATGTCATGAGGTGAGAGGTCCGACAGTTCAACCAAGTCCTTTCCGTTTTCAAACGCCTGACAGAGCTTCTCAACGCGGGATTTGGCTCCATTCACACGATAAATCCCCTGTGATGAAACAACGGGGACATCAATCAGAACGTTTTTTTACTGTTATCAAAGATCTTAAGTGACAAATCCACTTGCATTATAAAACTGACTTTACCTTGATGTTGAGGGCTCGACTCTCGATCTCAGACGTGCACTTCTTTATGATGAAGGGGATTCCATCCTGGCTGTTTTTTGCTGCTTGGGTAAAGTCGATGCCGAACAGGTGAAGTCTGCCTTGCAGCTTTTTGTGGCCACATTGGATGGCAAGCGTCTCCAGACACTTCTTATGGCAGGCCAGGGAGCACTGGAAACAGACAGCCCAACAAACATAAATGTTTTTAGTTTATTAGATTAATAAATACGAATGAGTTCATGGAAAAATGTGACACATCGAAAAGTATTATACCTCTTCACATTCAGCTCCGTGGAAAACAACCAGGCTGTCGCACTCCCTGCATTTAGACGGCGCTCGCAGTTTTCTCAGCTTGTGGG